TGATGTGTATAGATAAAGAATATTTGTTTTCATGCTCTCTTGATTCTAGCATTTCTAACCCGGCAAGTATATGTATCTTAAATGAAGTTATGTACGACTTTATTTCCTCCCCCTTAAGTGTGTATCATGGGAAGGTTTTTTTTCTCGAATAATCCAAAAATGATTTTAACTGGTTCTGACCTATCGCCTTTAATAAATCGAAGGCTTTGCCCAGATTGAGGGCACTGCTGTTACGCCCGGGCTGTACGGAGTCCTCAGGGCGTGGGCCCAAATTATAAACATTTTCTGCTTGCATCTTACAAAGAACGCGAAATAAAAGATCGCTTTCGAATGACCTCTAACACTAAAAGCGGTCTTTCCTCATCACCTTCTATTTGATGATACTACTCATGTGACCAGTCAGTAATAAGACCTACTGCAGATTACCAGATTATATACATGTACCAGTACTTACAGCACGTAAACAGACTTTGTACTATAGATAAAGCTGTTTGATCCCGCCTTAGCACTTAATATCATGATACATTCTATTGGCGTAGAACTTTCAAGTTACGTCCGGGGCTCATCTTGGAAGGCTATGCATGTTAATCACTTCACATTGTTCTCCATCTACCTTAGTAAAAAAAACAATGCTTCAAAATTATTGTCCTACAATAGTTTACGTACGTAGTCTGTCTAATTATATCACTGGCTGTAGTATTGGTCCAAGTACGTCATACCGGTACAAGTACGACTGCAGGTTGGACATTTTATCTTTAATGAAAGATCTTAGCTTTTTTTATTCCTGTGGCAACATCTATATTATTCCTTCAACATCTTTTTATGCTTGAAACACAGCTCCAAGTTCAACATGCACCATAATATGGGATTTATTTGGGGGCAAAACATCTCTTTCGGTCTCCTGATTTTCTCAGGCGCTGGACAGCTATAAACATGCTTTTAACGGTATTGTCACCCTTCACCCAAAAGTATTTGCTGCCTTACATATAACATTGGTCAAAAAGGTTGTCCCACCCCCAGTTTCGTGTGCTTTTATTATAAATGATTACATCTCAGGATTTAATTGCCATGAATGGTGATTTTCATTCCGGACACCATAGCTAACATGATAAGTGATACAGAAAATACATACTAGCGGTGAAGATGTCCATATTTATTACCATTTATTCACATTCGATGTTCCACTGTCATTTCCACAAAAGTAAAGAAATGTCCTTTAAATTAAAAAGACACAAATGATATCAATGATAAAAGACAAATATGGATATCGTCACCGCTAGTTTGTATTTTCTGTATCACTTATCATGTTAGGACTATTTTGGGACGGCAGCATAAAGAAGAAACCCAAAGGCTTTTATCGTGCACAGGAGGGGGGCACTCTGCTACTGATATGAATAATTAAATATTACTATACTACTCTTTTGTTAAAAATTGCAGTTGACTGAAACCTCCCAGATTATAAGAATTTTTATTATTGTAGAATCTACAACCAAAAGAGCTTATTTAGTGGGACCATGTTAAAAAATCTATTTAATCCACAGCAAGTGTACAATAAAATCGTGTTTGATGTCTATTTTAAATTTAATGTTTTGTATCAGCAACGATTTAGCCGTGCAATTAAGATAAACTGATAACATTATTCAAAGTAGTTTACGCAAAAAATATTCTACATTAGATGTAACAACTAATTTGAGCACATTGTATATCATATGGGGTATTTGTAAATCTCCCTAGTAATAGTTGAGACCCATATACTGTATTTCTATCGAAATGTTGGGCATATTGATTTTTTTCAAATTACCTTGGATACACATTTGTTGCCGTATTGGGGGCAAGTAGTATCTACCTGTACTAAACCCCCTGGCAACCTTTCAATGGCAAGATTTTATAAGAAGAATATCATGTAACTATCGACTCGGAGAGAGCCCTATGTTCAGCTCACAAATATCATCCCCAGACTTGTTAATTAACTTTATTGGAGTACACTCGACTCGATTTATGGCCTTGCATGTTATTATATAACGCAAGTGGAGGTGTGCAATTTGAGCGATTAAAAATTAGTATGCACCGCCAAATAGGGCAGCTTGGAATCCACCATAGAAATGAAATATGTATATATGTATATAAGACGATCAGAAGTAATATCAGGGAGTTCAGATTGAGAGAGATTAGGGGAGACCGCCTGGGAGAGCTAGGAAGACGTACGCGAGCCATGGGATGGTTCAGAAGTTGGAGACTTCAGGTACATTAAAATATGTAGTTGGAAAGCGTTATCAAATAAAACATTAAACTGGTCATTATGCGTCCTTGGGTTTTCTTTGAGAGACATTACGTAAAGCTGACACGAACCATGGAATTGCGTTTTGCGGGTTATAAAAGATATAATTAAATAAGTATAAACAGATTTCATTACTCTCGTCAGAGGAAGAATCAAATAGGTATTGTAATTAGTCTCTACAAAACATATGTAATATATCAGAATAAAAAAATTCGACAGGTTGTAAATGAGTTTTTTCATGAGCTCAAATTTGTTGGTTCAAAAAGATGTTTCCTAGCAGAAATAATTGGTGCATAGTTGTAAACATAAGGTGCCGAACATATTTATGCACTGTATGAGGGTGTGCCTTAGGGCATTTGATACGTTTAAAAGCTGATATTTGGCAAAATACATGTAGCTCTTTTTCTTGTTCTAATAAGCTAACCATGTTTTTTTATGCGGCAGTATTATCTCATACATGTAATATGAACATATTTGTTTCTGCATTATCTATAAAGAAACAAATCTGAACGCTTCTTTTCCCCTTAAAGAATTTAGTCGAGAATGTACGCATTCAAAACCGCGGACTTACACATCCGCGGATCTAATATGGCGAAAGTTGAGCGCTTAATTCCCGATTAGACATACTATTTTTGATCCGCGGATCTGTTAGTCCGCAACTCTGAATGCGCTCAATATCTGCATTTTGATTTGAATGTGTTTTTATAATATAAATATCTCATAAGTGCAATATAATCTACAGGTCCTGCCCAATTCAATAACAATGCTGTTCGGAGTCGCTGTTGCCGTAATATTGGTCTCAACCGTTCTGTGGTACATATTTGCAAGACTAAGATCAAGTCCAAAACCTCAACCAAGTCCAACAGCTCAACCAAGTCCAAGCCCAAGTCCAACAGCTCAACCAAGTCAGGAAATGAAAAAAATGCAAAAGACCGCTTATTGGCAACTAGCCCTAATCAGTTGTAAATGTGCATATGTACGTAACGACCAGGAAGTAATGGACATTCTGAACAGTGATAATGAGGAGCGAGGAATTCATGGCTTCAAGGAATATCAGCTGTCAAAGGAAATGGAAGTCCTTGGTGCCAAGTTGCGATACTTAATTTCTCGGAACAGAACCAAAGAATTATTTATTTCGATTTCAGGTAACATGTCTTCATTATCCCAGAATCAGACAAATGTACTACTATAAACTCAAAGCACTCATATTTATAAGAGGGTTGTTAATTTATGTCCTTTTTAGGGGGTATAGGGTTCACTGCAAGGTCAGACAAAAGCACCCCTTAAGTAATTATAACGTATTTATGCAAATAATTAGCTTTAGAATTTACACAATAACCTTGTTTTACAGTCACGGGCGGTGAGAATATAACCGACGAGCAGAAAAAAATGTGTTTGCACCCAAAAGGTCTATTTGATGGAAACGTTTCATTAATCATACTGGAACTAGCGGGCAGGATCCCTTGGATGTCCCTGTTAGAAAAGTTTAAGGACGAGGAGCTCATCATTTGTGGACATTATATTGGAGGAGCGGTGGCACAACTTGTCACCGTACTTATGAAGTGTCATTTGCGACAAAAAAAAGAAAGGATGGATGGAGAAAAGATACGGTGCATTACATTTGGTGCACCACGTTTTGCGTCTGATCATTTTACTGCGTTTACCGAAAAGACTGGGGACGATGTTTTGATCGAAAACGTCAGAATGGAGATTGACGCTGGTTGGCGTGAAGACCTTGCCCCTCGGCAATGTTTGGGCAAGGGTGAGCAGGCTTATAGTGATAAAGATTTACCGGCTACCAATTATGTCGAAGGGGCGGAAAAAGGTAAATGGGATCTTAGTATTTGTATATTTTTCATTCATTTTAAAGGAATAAGCACTGTTCATTTTGGCGAAAAATAGAATTTCCTGGGGTAAACGACAAAGTTCCCTTACTTATCAATGGTTAATGAATCCGTTCCGATATTCAAAGTTAGTTCCCGTTTTTCTTCTAAAAAGCTTAGTTTGTTGTAATGACCTCTTAAGAGTCAAGTACAGATCGGGTAACCATTTACGGAGGTCACGCACTAGTAGGTGGTCCAATGCAAGCACAGACCCTAGAATTAATGCGGTAACAACTGTTTTGGTCGTAAAATCTAATTATATTTCTATGACACAGTGCACACAGTGCAATTTAAAATCTCATACGAAGTGTTGGTATCCTTTGCCTGGTCCAATGTGATTCTTTAAGTAGCAGTTTTATAACTAGGACCCTTCACGGAAATTCATAAGGTCATTTATATGAAATAAGTGCGTGGAAATTATTATACCTTTCGGGGGAACCAATGTCGGATGTGGGGGTGCTAAATTACTTCCTTTCAATAAAGTAATGTTTATTTTACTGAAACGTATGCATCCACCTGGGTGGATGAAAATGACAATATAAATATAATTTTAGCGAATATACTATTAAGCAATTACAATGAGTAAGACTATTTACTAACTAAAATAATAATAATAATAATAATAATCAATAAAATAAATAGATAAATAGATAAATAAATTCATTAATTAATTAACTCGAGTTTCTATTGCTACTGCTCAATTGCCGATGGTTGCAGCACTGTCTTCTAGATCCCTCCTAGCAAAAGCGGAGGAGAGAAACTGAGCTAGTGCAATGAGTTTTTCTTCTTCTTGAGATTTCATAATGATAGTAAACTTTTCATCGGTTATTTTGAGACCAAAATGTGTACAGTGTTTTGTAAATACCTTATATAATATTGTTCTCAGGTCGTTATATTGGAGGAAGTGTGAGGAAGTGTTTTTCATCTTCAATTTTGTCTTTAGAACAGTGATGGCATTTTCTGTCTGACCGAGGAGTGTTAATGTGGACTGTTTCAATGTGGACTTTATGCCCACTGGTGCGAAATCGACTTAGGTTTTTTCTCTTTTCAGTATCATGAAAAATGTCTAGATATTTTTCTTTTTTAAATGTGTTCTTGAATTGGCAATAGGCTCTGAATTCAGATATTTCCTCAAGCTCACTGTGCCAGTTTTGTATGAACCCACTGATGATGTGTTCTCTTAATGTGCTTAGGAAGTTTATTTGAGGATTCTGTTTTAGCCATACATCCCCAAATCCGTTTTCGAACAGGAGTTTCATGATGCCTTCACTCCATGAGAGGTAATCATCATTCAGATTTGACAGGCTTTTTATCGAGAGTAGATTGTAATATTGTAATTCCTCTAGATATGCTTGTTTGAGTAGGTTGTTTTCGTCCGAGCGTAATATTTTGAGCCAACATTTTATTAGATTTTAATCTTTATGTAAGTAGAAATTCTTCCAATCTCTCCTCTTACTGCATGGTTTGATGATTTTGAGTGAACACCTAAAAGTTGTTTAGAAAAACCAAGGTTTAATTTTTCCGATGGGGATCTGTCTGTTAGGGTAGTATAGCCCAGACCTCTGATCCGTACGTTGCAATGGGCATTATCATGGTATCGAATAGTTTTTCCTTGAGGGATGATTTAATATGGTCGGTTGGAGGGAAGTGACCTTTTAGTGCAAAAAAGGCTTTTTGTACTTTTTCTTTTAATCTTGTTAAGGCTGCAGCGAATTTGCCGGATCTAGTGAAAAGAATTCCTAGGTAGTTGTAGCTAGACAAGATAGTGAGTAGTTTACCGCCTATGTAGAATTTGTGTTTACTTTGAGTGGTGCCGTCTGTGATTTTTCCTTTGCTGTTGAAAATAACAACTTGAGTTTTTTTTTAATGTCATCGAAAATATCCATAGTAAACAGTACTTTCTTAGACAATCCAGACTGTATTGGAGACCTAATGGCCTTTTTGAAAATAGAACCAGGTCGTCAGCATAGATTACCGAGACACTGGTTTGTTATTTATTACAGGGGGGTAACTTTTTGAATTTTCTATAACTTTTAGTAAATCGTCTGCAAATAAAGGATAAAAGAAAATAAAAGCAATGAAATTTGTCAACAGTATAGTATGATTTATAGATACCATTATTTTCCAGCGTCCACCACTGTAACCGTTTATTTATTTCAGTTCTTTTGCCAATGGCACAACAGGACGAGGAGCAAATTACTGGACTTACTCCCGTGGGTCAGGAGGAATTTCTCATTGAAGCCACCAATGGTAAAAAGGAGACCTGGGTTATAGTTAATCCCGAAAGTCAATCATATTTGGTTGATTTAGAGGTCGAATAGTGGATATTGTGGATTGAAATATCATGTACAAAGATTGGACTTTTTGTTATGTATTAAAGTACAAATCACGAACAGAAAGCCTTAATGTTGAAATGTGGAATTTTTTTCAAATGATAGAGATTGACAGATTATTGAATAGTGTATTATAAATATTTTAAGGAAGAAAAATATGGAGGTTGCTCAATAAATACATGTGTGATAGCAAAGTTAAATGGAGTGCCTCCCTCCAACATATCACTTCGTCTGTATTTAAGTGTAACAAACTTTACGGAACCAAAAAGGTCGGAGTGTTCGAGACTTAATTATAGTCAATGTCAAAATGAGGTATATACTGATTTTCACCATATAGATTTACTCCTTAAGAAACATGTCTTTTGCTAGCACATGTTGGTGTGCATCTTTTCCAGGTGAGTTATCTGAGTCACGGATGCCAAGTGAAAAACAGTGTATTGATGCGTATCTGAATAGTTTTAAGAATCACTATCACAGCAACTTGCACACATTTGAGTCCATTGATGCGCAGGCAGAGTACTTGCTCGACCCTCAGCTGCAACTCCAGGACGCAGGTATGGTTTGGTTTGGTTTGATTGATTTACTTGCAAATGATACATTTAGTTTGTCAAGCTCCAGACGTATACAACAGAGGGGCCTCTGATTTAATGTTGCATACTAAACAGAATCCTTGATATCAAAGGGTGCATGTAATACATCTATTATGGTGCTTACTTATATGATGTCCCTGGATTTGACGTTAATAAGTACATTTAAATGAATTGGCACATGTGTTTGGTACTTCTGTGCCAATTCCAGTCATGTTTGTTTACTTAAAATATATCTCTCTCATAATATATTTAAATATATATTTCAAATTGGAATTGATGCCTCTTTGGTGTGCGATAGATTTTATATATAGTAAAACCAAAGTTTATATGAGACCTTTTGGATAAACATGTTGAATTTATTTTCTCCCTGAGAATTTTGATTGGATTTAATTTGTCAATCATAATGTTTGTAATAACCATTGTGCATGTTCAACATTTAACTTTCAGAGTACCATAATGGCTGTCTGAAAATGAAAGTGAGTGGAGGATATGATGCTTTTGACTGGTTCACATTTGATTGTAAGTTTGAAAGATGGAAATTATATAATACGTGTAGTATTTATGAAAAAACGGGTGAGTATCAATATTGTGTTTCCTCTAAACAATCAATAATCACTATACAAATAAAAAATAAATTCACATCTCGAAGGGTCTTTTCAGAATCGTGTGTCTGCTTGTGTTAATGGCACCTGCTTCCTGGCGCCTCCTTTATGCTTGGAGCTAGTATTGTGGAATGAAATTTCATTCTTTGATGGTCTGCTGGTTGGGGATGATATTGCTGAGCTCGTAGCACTAAATGGTCCAATAGCTAATAAAATATTGTACTCTTTTGTATGTAAACCCAAAATTATTGTAATCATCATCATCATCATCATCATTATCATTTAGAGCCTATAGTGTTCCACTGTTGGACAAAGGCCTCAGCATGCTTTTTCCATTGTTTCCTATCCTTAGCCTCCGATTTCCAGTTTGGCCAAGGTTTCTTCTTCCAAGACTTCCAGTAGTCATCTAATTCATCCCTCCATCGTTTGACCGGCCTTCCTCTTTTTCTTTGTCCATACCTTGGGGTCCATTCTGTAAGCCTGATTGTCCACCTATTGTCCTTCATTCTTTTGACATGTCCTGCCCACCTCCATTTCATTTCTTTAACTGTGAGCAGTACGTCCTTAACTTGGGAAAGCCCATATGTATGTTAACTCTTTTCACATATTATTTCAAGTGTACTGTGTGTAAAAGAAACAAAATACCAGGATCATCAGCGTACTCTATATACCTTGTGAGTTTAACCCCTTATGGTGAGGCAGAATACGGTTGTCGTTCAGCCCTTAATGACCATCTATCTAGCTAGAGACATATCTGTGAATATCTGTAAAAAAATCTATCACTCGCCCTGGTAGAGGGTACATTATTATCCTCTTGACATTTTTCTGTTGTTTATGCATTTTCACGAGGATTTTTAAAGTAATTTAATTTGGGAACTAGGACTTCATTAATGAGAATAGTAAAGAGATTGTTTCAGATCTAGAAAAACCGTTGACTTGAGCCTATTGATAAATAAAAGTAATTTTAAGAATCATGTTACTGATACACATTACCGGTGCATATATTTGCATTAATTTAGATGCCGCCGCTAAGCCAGAAAATGTAAAACTAGAGGAAACAACCAAGACAGCGACTGGGTTAACGTTGAAAATATCCTTTCCTCTGGACCCTGAATTATATGACACAGTTGAACCCCCAGTCCAATTTACTTGTGAAACGCATTTCGAACATAAGCATGTACTAGTTGTTCCATATGATACCAAGGTAAGCAGTTATTAATGCCCCTTGCTCTTAAGGACGCCCTCTTAAGTAAGATTTTGCGCAAATAAATAAATTAAGCCTTGATACCAGCACGTAACATAGAAACATCATACAATGTTGTAATGTTTACAACATTATATAAGATAGTATTATTTTAGATACGGTGAAATGCGCTTTGCTTCTGTTTAAAAATTTTATGTTTTATTACTCAAAATCCCTTTTATAGATAACCTTATGATATTCGTAAGAAAATAGCATGAGTAACATAAGAGTGATGTTTTTGTTTGAATATATTGTTTTTTCTTTACTGAGCAGCTTTAATCGTTGTATTATTGTTGCGCATTTGTTTCTAATTTGGCAATGTTCAACCAATAAATCCCAAACCAGTGGGCTAGGAATGAACTACTGATTACCTTTGTTACATTATCATGAATTCTGTCATTTACCGATTGATTAAGAACAGGGACGTGTGTATGTCAGTATCAGACCATATTGGGAAGCAGGAGTTTAATTCTTTTCAAAAAAAGGATTTGACATGTCTGCAGGTCGAACCCACACCCTGTCAATTCCAACGTGGGCATGGTTACCACTAGACCAATACGTCACTACAAGTAAACCAATTTTGAACATTCAGCCCAGTGTATGTTTCAATGTCTCAAAGATACAAGTTCGTTTATCTGTTTCACTGTAACCGTTATACTTTAATAATAAAAAAGTATTAATCCTTACCGGTCGGTCTTTGTACATCATCTTGGATCTGGATATGAATCGAATTCCTTTACTCATAATTTAGACTTTGATACATAAAAACTTTGAGACATGTCACACCATTTTTATGGCAGACTCTATGGGACACTTTCAATCCTGCAGTTGCACATTGTGTCCATTTGCATAACAGATTTGAAAACAATCGACAGATTCGTTTATATGTTAACGACTTTAAACACGTTTTAAAGTAGTTTTATATTGACCTTCTCATATGTGATATTCCACTGATATAGATATCACTGATAAATATCACTGATATTTTGTTCCCAGACTGAGTCTCTTCAGGGTTTATTTGGCTATGGGAGCGACACTTCCTTATTGTGACATCACAATCACATTTGGACAAACAATAAGATTATTGAATGCAAGTGAACTACATCACATTCAATACTTGTTTATATACATATATTATATATAATATCAATTTATTAAAACAGCGGATTGCAACACAGTGGATTGAAGTTGGCTGTACATAAAATGATAAGAACATTGCAATAATAATGATAATATCCTACATGTTTAAATAAAACTGCTACTAGGTTGAAAGACTGCTATTTGACCTTTGAAATAACCGTGCATAGAATAAAATGCTAATTATCACTATTGGAAATGTAAAGGTGCATATGGAATAGAGCAGCGGAATTTTTTAGTCTAAAATGTTGGCACCTTATTGGATTATCGGAAGGATCAGTTGTTTTTTAGAACAACTGTATACTTGAAAGTTCTAAATGAGTCATTCAATTACACTTTTTTCATACTAATAAATGTTTAATACTTTGGTATTTTATCTACTGGTATAGAGGAACTGAACTTGAAGAAGTTGTTTTCCTGCCTAATAAAATATATCTGGTTTCGTTTTGTGTTCATTAGGCGATTACGTTACGAATGTGTGCTGTACATTTCCTTTACAGGGTCTCTTTTGCAGTTGCATGAAAAGTAACGGGAAAGAAAGCGTGGCTGACGTCGTGATGAAAGCAATCAAAAGGCGGAATCTTGTCGCAACGCATTCTCAAACAGCCAAAGATGAAAAAGGTGAACTGGTGAAGTTGATAGAAAAACTCACAGGTAATGAAAAAATTGCCACGAAGGTTTTAAATCTGCACACAGTTTTAATTTGTAGATTTTTATTGATCATTTTTTATGTTTAATGCTACCGGGTATGAGTTACGTTGAGTTAAACTCCACCAAAACGTTCCTTAGAAGTTCGCATATGTTTTGATTTTGGCTCATAATCGGTTTGATGAACTGCTCGAATTACCAACATATTTCATATTTATATCGTCTTTCTTACGGAGATAACTGTAGATAAACAATATCAGGACTTGCTCAAACGTAAGTTTGACAGGCAGTTCATTTTCGAATAAAGAACCAAAAGTAATTATATATATAACACCATTTCCTATGGTCCAAATTTAATTCACTTTGACATATACAAAAACAATTCTCGAAAATTACATGTTATTTTCTATTCAATCAATTCTCTCTCACACGCGATTAAACCTCGGGAAATAATAAGAGCCAATAATTGACATCTTTTTCTGTTGTTACCAAACCAGAATTAATCGAAGGCAGCGCAAATGAAAAACAGCAAACCGATGATGCCCAGCGGTTGTCATCAGACATTCAGGAGAAAATACGTGACAAAATCAAGATAGTATACGATAGAACCATGCAACAGATATTGCTTGGCTCGGTTTCGGGTGGACTTTCAGCTTTTTGGTTATTGGCAGGTAAGTCATAAAACTACACAATGTCTTACAGCACATTTGTTTCATATTAGCTGATTATCGGATTACATGAGTTTAGTTTCAACAGTACATTGCATGTCCATGAAAATCAGCACCACTTGGCTGTACGTGTGGAGTGAAAATAAAACCAATTTATTTAAAAAGAATATCAAAGAAAGAATGCTAGCGGCTTGTGTTCAAGATACAAACTGCTATACATTTTACTATGTAAGATATTCAAAGCTTTTATCATGCATCGCGATTTATTTTTCAGGAGTTGGCATTGGCTCAGAAGTCATTTCTACCACAGTAGCTGCATCTAGTTTACCAGTAGTAGATGCGGCAGCAGCAGCAGGAGCAGGTGCAGTTGGTGTAGGTGCGGGTGCGGTGACATATTATGTTACAAAAAGGAAAGAAACCGTGGCGGAGCAATACCGAGCAGTACTGATATCAATTTTGAACATTTTGTTAAATGAAGAAAACGCTGGTATGTCGTGCAACTGTAAACTTGAGAAAAAAATTTACGAAATAGCAAAACGTGAAGAAATTATTCAACCAAATGCGCTTTCTGTCCACGAAACAAAAAATTTCAAACAAAGCAAAAAGATCACTAAAGAAACACGCAACCAGCTGTCTCAACGCCTGCATGCTGTATGCATTATTCACCGAATGAGAGGATTACTTTTGAATGAAATATTCATCCTCGTGGTTGGTCAACAGAATCACGGCAAGACAACCCTTGTCCAGCAGCTGACAGGAGTGGAAGGTCAAGCTGCAGACAGTGGCTATAGCAATCTTACTGAGAAGCCAACTCTGTACAAGTACACCGTGGGGCATGATGTCATTAATGTTAGTATAACACTTAGAATTTCGCCACTTCTTCCCGTTTTAACATCTTTCTTAATGTATTAAGATCGTAACTTAAACTGCGTATCTGTTCATTTAATTGCTTACTTATATTGTTTAAGCATATTTTCAACGCATTCTCACTATGTGTGTTCTATAACATATACTGTGGGCTATTGCTTAAATAAAGGTGGCGTTTAATTGCTATGATAAAATGTTTTAAGTAAAATATAAATGAATCCCGCTTTTTAGCTTTTGTTTATATAAGTATCTTAATTAAATAATTATAATTTCGATATTCTTATGAATTATAATAGCCTCTTAATAAGGTATAACATGGCTAATTACATCATGTTTACCTATTCGATAACGTCATCACTTTATGCAGTCGTCCAACTACATTTGAGAATCCAAAGATAGATCCGTGACACACACTAGAGACCAGCTTTTATCGATAGTCCTAATTTTGGTTTTGGGAAGTATGATTGAACATGGCCTCGGAGGAACCAATTAGTTCTTGAGGTTAATCCAGATCTAGATCTGAATTTAACGCCATGTTAAATGGTTCATAACATTTCGAGATAGGGCCTTTTTAACATAATTGCTCATAACTCCTTTAAAATTGGACTGAATATAATGAAAACTGATACAAAGTTAAAGTATGTAGAGGGAATAAATTCTGAGTTTTTATCCCATTCCTGAACACTTTCTCATCTTGCCCTCGCCAGTTGCAAGGAGATTGTCTTTGGTTCCATTTGAATGTTTGTCCGTTTGTCTAAGAACAACATTATGGAAAATATGGATTTTGGTGAAAATATGGAAACAATTGGGGGAGTAAAAACTAAATATGATTAGATTTTAATGATTATCCAAAAGTTCAGGAGGGATTTCAGTGAATTTTTCAGGATATGTCAGAAATGGAATAGATTTTGGTGGAGATTAATTAATTCCTGAACGCAGTTCTATGGGAATTGATTAGTTTGTTGGTAAATTGATTATGAAAGAAATCTTACTTTCTTAATTAATGAATTAATTGAGAGATGATTACTAATTAATGAATTACAATAATAATTGTGATTCCTGGTCAGCAGTCTGAGCCCCCAGTTTTTTAAGCTCCCTGTTCGTGTCTTTCTAGTTTCTTATTCCTTTATTTCCTCTTTTAGCTTGTAGATATGCCAGCCACAACCGCCATTGAAGAAACAATTTCCAATCTATCCACAGATTTTGGAAAATCAGCTGATCTGTTGGTATGGGTCTTCAGTTTTAATGGTAAGACCGACAGGAACTTTGACGATGAAAGGAAGCATATCCTGTCGGTGGGGCGACCAGTCCTTCTCTGCTTTAGCAAATGCATGCTTGCAGCAACCGACCCTTCTTTGAAAAACGGAGGAAATATTGCGGACTTGCTACCGAACGTTGAGGATGTACCCAACGTTGAGGATGTCATTCCTATGGAACTGACGGAAGATGGGCAGAAAGCTCTGGCAAACAAGAAAATAACAGGTGTACAATCATCGGAAGACGTTGGCAAATGGATTTCTCTGTGGAAGAAACGCTACCTTAAAACCCTTAATGCAATATAAAATTTAAGTTTTGGTTACAATTGATTGAAAAAAAGCATATGCATTTCATTAATAGAACGGTTCAATATCTAATTACACAGCATACAATATTTTAAAAACAGTTCTCAGAAGTGGCAACTTTCGAACATGAACGTGCAGATTTTGATTCTAAAATGCAAGCTTCTAAGCCGTCAATAAATTGAAGTGCGCTGAAATTTATCCGCGCTGCTTTTTCCATTGTATAAACTCACAAACATCATTTATGAAAGTTGCAATGTCTGCATCATTAGTTCTTTCAAGTTGGACATACCCACTTATTTATGCTATGACTTACATTTGAAGGCATGCCCCTGATCATTCAACTATTATATGGATATATTCAATTAATTACAGTGACTGATAATGAAATGGGCGCCTATGATATCTTGCTAGTATCAATATTTTTCAATTTTGAATTTTTGTTTCCAGTATTTTCCAACCTACATTTTGTTTATTTCTCTTAAAGTATTGTAGCTTGTGATATGTTTGTGTACGTGTATATGCTTATTCAAATCATACATAATTCTGTCTCTTTTGTTTTACACGAGAGGTGTAGTGCTTTAATATATATTACCAATTTTATATATGCATCACTTACCATCATTGCGCTTGTGCACTGCTGTTGGATCTTTTTGATTGAGTTTCAATTTAGATGGCAATGGCGTTAATAATGTGTATAGAATTTCGAAATGTTTGCATATGCGTATGTAAGTGTGTGTTTCGATCCTGCAATTAGTTAATTAATTAGATTGTGTGTATATGTGTTTTGGGCTTACACATTGTATTTATGCTTCACGTTAAATATAAGAGCTTATTTTGAATGAATATGTGTTAAACCAATTGGATTATTGGCTTAAGTAATGCACATCTTTTAAATTGAATATAAATTGTACATTAGATTTACTTTTATTTTTTCATTATTCTTTATGTTAGGCCGTATCAGTACCTGTATTATTTTTATCACTGTCTACATCCTTGTTGCAGTTTTAGGTTACCATTCATACACTTTTAGCATCCTGTCATATATGTGCATGCTATACAGTTGCATGTTAAGATAATATTAGCCTTTGTAACATATGTAGTCAGACAAAGTTTGGTTTTCAGTGGTGTTGGCTAGTTTTTGTAGAACTTTTAACTGTTTCATTTTGCTATTATTTTGCACTCATCATTATTTTCCTGGGCGATAGAAAATTTTCAAAAAAATTTTCAAATGGTACCAGTCATTTAGGAAATTACTGTATTTTCCTTCGAGTGTGTGTACAGCAATTAACGTTTTCTCTCTCCGTTATAGAGGTTTCACAATATTATTGCTTACATTCGCCATAATCGTTCATGATCGCTATCAGAATCTTTTCAGGATTTGAACACCTTAGCAGCTACATTAACTATAACTACCGGTTATATAAGTATTCCAAACTTTTACATGGAACATCTGAACATTTGAGGGAACGTCAACTCTCAGAAGGTCATTACACATTTCGTAGTTGCTTACAGTTTTCAGTACAGTACATGTATGTTCGAGTCGTACAGATATATAACTTGGATTGCATTCAAAGACGGCACAACGTAGACCACTGATTGTCTACCTGACGTCAATGTGTACGACCAAATTGCTTAACATTGACCTTTAAACGCCTAGAAACGAAGGCAGAAAACTACCATTTAGACCGATATATTTGAAATCCATCGGTAAAGGACTCTGAAATAATGTGTTAAGCTATATATTGTGCTTTATTGATATTAACTGTGGTTTATTAATATTCACTACATGCATGTACTCTAGAAGTGTTCAGATAATGTAGATGGGAATCTTTAAAATGCTAAATAAACGCTTTTTGGTTGTGGGAGAGTGAAGTTTCTTATTTACCTTGGTATTCTGTACATAAGATCAAAAAGAAAGGGATACTGACAATTGGGTCACTGACCCTCATTTCCGGCATAGGATTAGCAATGCAGGTAACAATACCGGACTGTTATTTTAATTATTATCTCGTACTTGCATATTATATATATTTTTCTCTTATAAAAAAAAAATCAATTTTGTTGTCATGGCGGAAAAAACTTTTCTGTTTGTTGTGATTCATTACCACTGTCAGGCTCGTAGATAACAATTTCAAATTGGGGTTGTTTAAAAAGAATGGGACCTTTTACCCTCATGCAAATCAAATTTACATCGAGCAGACCTTTTTCTGGGTTCGGTTCGTTAGAACTTCCACCCCCTCCCACCCTCACACACCCCTGGCTTCGGGGCTGACTGGACCGGTTACTGGACTGACTATTAAGAACTCTTATTTGAACCAAGCATATCGAACTTTTCACCCGTCTTGTGTCATTTCAAATTCATTTGTAGATGTAAGACACTCGAGCAATGCACCGATTTTAAATGAAGCTTCCTTCATATCATTAATTAATAACTCGAGTATTTTAAGCGACGTGTAGAAAGAAATCCCACCAGCTACAATGCTGCCAACGACGGGAATTAATCGAGAAATCTCTTCGACGGCTGTTTGAACAGCAAAACGTTTACCGAGCTCTAACAGGGTCTTTTTGTCCAGCGCAAGACATGCGCAGTCTTTCAGTATTTCTTCTAGAGCTTTTGGGTTTACACCCGAGCTTCTGCGAAAGCGCTTTAGGGCTACCTCGTCAAGTCCAAACTGTTTTCTGAAAAAAGAGAGAAAGATTTCATTAGGGTTCGTTTTTTATATTTATTGCACTTGTTAATATTGAGACATGAAAACTTTTTACGATATATTGGTGCTTACCATTGTACTTTTCCCACTGGCTATAAACATAGAATGAAGAGTTATTGACTTTGAGAGCAATAAATAAATAAATAAATAAATAAATAAATAAATATTTAACACACCTGAAGAAAATAATTTCTTTCAACAAAAGGGACACATCCAATACTGCCGACACGCCGGGAACAGGCACCGCTCCACCCACCGCCGACAGCGCAGCGATATTTTTAGACCTCTTTAACATCCAGTCAGCCTTTGATTCTAATATGTCTTCATAGTAGGACCCGTGGATAGTGTACACGAATGCCTCACATTTCTTCTTCTCCAATTTTGTGACTATTCCAAACAGTGCTTCTTGAATCGACTTAGTGTAGAACGTTGCAGAGGACAAGTTACGTATTTTTACACTATCGACCTCTTCAATAAACTTCCTGTCGGTTGATTTCCCTCCAATGGGGATTCTGTTTGCTACTCTCTTCACTTTTGCTTTTCCTCCCTTAAAATGCCCCTTCAATTTTTTCCCGATGCCTCCCAAAAACGCATCAACATGTTGAATTCTCAGCGCCTTTTCAATTCGACCACATTTAGCAAGAGCTTCATCAACATCAAAGATGATCATTTTAGGGGTAACTGTGACAGGTGTTGTGCTTTCCTCCGTTTCGTCGCAAACAAGTTTGGCCCCAGTGTCATGACGTACGTCACTAATCGTCTCCACGTCCCCACACTTTGCAGACGTCTCATAATCACCATCGTTCCCACCACTCCCAGCATCACGGTTCACATCATCTGTGATACTACTTGTATGCTCAAACTCATCGGTGGTTGCAGAATCTTCGTCATTACCAGTTGCTCTTTCACTTTCTTTTTCAAATGGATTGGAATCGTTGCTTGGTTCTTCACCTATTGATATGATGGACGAATGAGAAGACTCGGTTATATTTTCACTTTGAAGGCTTGTTGTTCTTTCAAGATCCTGTAGGGGTTCTTTGTTAGATGGTTTTTGGTCCAACGTTGAATCTCGATTTATTATAGTCATGTCATTATTTGACTGTGAACTTGTTTCGTCAGCGGAGAAGAACTGCATCGTCAATGGTCTTTCAGGGTCAGCATTTGTAACGTCTTCTGATATTAACAATGGGTTTTCAATAACCAGACATTCGTTGTTATCACCAACACATTTACCATGGTGTGATGATGACTGTGGTAGTTCACCTTTGTTTTCAATGTCAGGCGTTAAAACTGGTTTGCTTAAAACCAGCTCACTGGATGGTGATGGTTCTATTTCAATTGTATCTTTGTCTGTTAAACTCGAAAAACTTTGCTCGTTATTTGGATCCTGATTGGATGCTGACAATGGATGGCTATCAGACAGATTAGTAGACGTTGGTTCTTCGACTGATTGGCTCCCGTAGGATATGGTTCCAGTATGATTAGCAGCTGTGTCTTGGTCTTTCACCGCGCCTGTCTCGGTTACAGGTGAATTTGGGTGGTCCGGAGAAATCTCAGAAATACCTCTGGGACTTTCAGACCCTACCTCGTCACTAGAGTGACACTGAATTATGTCATCTCCCTCCCCTGGCTGAGGTAACAACAAATTGTCATCGGTTCGAGTATTCAACTCTGTCACAGGAACAATAAGCCGTTCTTTGCCAAGCCAGCAATCAGTCGGAGTGACGTCCTCAGGTTCATGTTTGGAATTGGATTTCTCATGCTCTTCGGCATCATCCGTTTCGTTCGAAGCTATGTCAGTCGCAGTGGAGCTCTCTTTGAGGGACTGAGTCGTTATACCAGACTGTAAGCTGTGAGGACTATCAGGATTTTCCCTGCACACCTCATTTTCTTCAACCCTATTTTCGCCTACCACTTTGACATAAAGCACCTTTATGTCTTCTGCTAAGGACTCCGTAATGGAAGCAGACCAATAATCAGCCGTGGTAGAATTATTATCCAGTAGGAAGACGGCCAATTGGATCGGGTGTGACAAATGGAATGTTTCAAGGTGTAATGCACGTTCTGTTTTAGTCACAGTCTCTGGCGCGTAAACCTCCCAAAGTGTTGCTTTTGAGTTTTCAGGAAATTGATGCGAGGAGACACAAAACTCATCTTTATCCGCTTCTTTTGGTACCACAGTCTCTGTTGTTTCAGTCACCTTCTTTTTTTCTGTTGACTGCCGGGACAAAGTTTTGATAGGTGACATACCTCTAGTCTTTATCTTTTTTAGGTGCTGGAATATTTCTTCGTCGTCTGCGTTGAGAATTAGTGACATCAATAACTTGAGGTGATCTTTGTTGTACCCATATATGGCGATATCGATTCTTTCGTTCCTCCATTCGTCAAGGCTGTTCCTTAACGCAGTCACCGCGTCATCTACCTCCTTTTTGGACGCTGAATGCCTAAAAAGCGATTTGAGGTCTCGGAACGCGTCCTTGGTATGGTCACGGACTGCGTGAAGTCGCTGTCTGACCATCTGGAACCGTTGTCACCTGAAATGTAACGGAGTATAAAAACGATTTCCCATGATGAACTCCCGGTTAGCACTGAATCGTCTTTAATGAATCACTTTGACGATGATGGTGTCCGAGAACAAAAAAAAATAATAAAGGCAGATCGTTTGCTTTTTTCGATAATCTCAACTTGAAGATAAATATCAAATGTTATACTTGTATATCCATACGGTAAAACAACCTACAATCGTATTTACTAGATCGATTTATAAAATATGTTCGAACCATGAAATAGGCCGCTCACTCATTTGCCATGTAATGGCAGTATATTTTCTAACATATATTTGTTAGAGTTTTCATGCAGAATCAGATGTCGTATTTCATTAAATTTCAATAAAATCATTTTTTCGATATTCCTGAATACCAAAAAGTTACAAGACTGTTCCAATAAAAACAAACATTTACTTCCTTCATTTTAAAATGGTTGATACGCCTACAAAACATTCATCCTTTTAGAATGTTGGAATGCCCCAACTGCTGAATTAATAAATAGATAGATAGATAAATGAAAACAGAAATCAATTCACAATACCTTGTATAATCTACCTGTCCAGATTTTGTCCATTTATTTCCATTAATCAACCAAATAACACAACTTTTCAGTTAAGAAAACCAAACAGAAATATGAAAAGTCTCACGCTTTTTTCACAGGTAACCCTTCACCCTGTACAATATTGCCAGAATATTTATCCCATCCTTTAAGCTATTTTAACATTATCGCTCTCGTATAAAGACATTAACAGCCTAGATTTAAACATTTACATCTGCAGTCACTCGATTATCACCATCCGAGTTGACTGAGCGTGCTATTCTATAAAATTAAAACATTACGTGCACATTACCTACGCCTTGCTTATTTATGTCAGACTTAATGTAAAGCATCTAAACCGCAACGTAATGAAAACGGTTACCTCATGATTAATGC